TTTTTTTTTTTTCTTTTTTTCCTCTCTCTTCAGTTCTGCTGATACTGGTTGCTGTTGCCGTATACGGCATACTTTTTGAAAGTCAGCTCAAAGAGAACGTACTACGTCCAGATGATAAAAGACATGGCTTCGATTCGACAGGTCTGGCGAGTCTCGAATACTCATTCTGGGTCCTATTGGGTGCTGCGGCCGTTGTCTTACTGAGCCCGTTCATCTTTCTTTTAAGTAAAGCTCACTTGACGCACTATTTTAAAACATCGCCAAAGGCATGCGAAGCTGCTGTTGCTGATGGTGTGATGCTGTATTAGTAATACTGATACCCACACACATACAACAGGACCATACAGCCATAAACGTTCCCAGATCGTGTCAGTATGTCAACTGCTAATAGACCCCTTGCACTAATTCCCAATCTAGGAATCAAAACAATTAAAAGAATTACCCTCTCTCGATAATTAAAATCTTTTTTCACGTTAACATTTTTTATTATTTTGACGGCAGGGTGGGGATTTTGTGCAAAGGATCTATTATTGGGAAGAAAGGTCCTGGATTAGCAATACGAGATAAAAGAAACGAAGTAGTTAATTCTTAGTCATCTCTGTTGCGCAGATTTTAACTTGTAGTTACTGTATAATAGTTTATATCTTTATGTTTGGTAGCGTCGAATACGGACGAGTATAGTATTGTTAATCAAACGGAGGCGAATCTAGGGTTGGCGGGTTCATTGTATGTACGTTCCCCCGCTTCCTGTCTATGCACGAGTGTCTCGAAAAGGCAGGATTACCATTCACTCCAAATCTGTCTCCACGTCTCCACGCAGGCATCTCAGGGAAGCTGTATAAGCTCCTAGATATCCTCCAAGCTCAATTATTCTATTTTAAAGGTATATATATAGATGTGAATATTCTGTTCTCATAGTTCAAAGTCATTACGAGACACTACAATCAAATTCAAGCCAAAACACTTATATAAACCCAAGCATAAATATTTAACGAGCAACACAAGTGCACGAGTGAATCTTCAAGGTTTGCAAATACACTTAGTAACGTTGTGAAAGGTCAGTTAAGTTTTARATAATCTTTATGAATGAATGAATGAATGAAAATGAAAGAAAATGAAAACATTCTTTCAATTTCTTTCTTTCATTTTTTCATTCTTCACTTCTTTTCTATAATTGCATCTACCAGAGCACCCTTACTAACGAAATGACCCATAGCTCCTTTTGGGAGTCCCAGATCAACTTTAGGATGCGAACCTATTTTTATCGCATTGTCTCCATGGACAGAGTAAAAGTTTTAAGATCAACTTCTTAGAAAGGGCCTTAACCTAATAGTCGTAAGTTGAAATAAAATTATGGTAATGTAAAGCAGTGGTTTTAGCATTTTTTGAGAAGTATGTTGCACTTAAAGCAATGTATAAACTTGTTTAAAAAACGTCAGGAGTTCAGTACTGACAAAAACTACGAAGATAACTTTAGAGTGAAGATATTTTAGACTTAGAAAGAATCTTTCGAGTCAGTTTGTATCACCTTAATAAAATGTATTCAAAGTAGTTTTTAAGATAATAAAACATATCATGGTGGATGCCTGTATGTGTGTCTTTAAGGATCAGGTTTGTCTATCTCTAAACCCTCTGTATGTCTCTCTGTATTTCATTTTCAGTAATTCTGTTTCTGGAGTAATGTTTTGACATCCCCAAAGACATTATTATCGTTTCCTTCACGTTACCGTCTGCCTATAAAACGGCGAAACAAACGGATGAAATTTTTTTGGAAGGAGTTTGACAAAGTATAAGATTGATTTATAAATTCTGAAGCATGGGGGGATGAATGGAATAATAATTTAATACTTATATTGCGCGTGTTACATAGGAAGATGCTCACACGCGCATTACAAACTGAAATAGAAATATAAAAATATAAATCATGATCTAAACATACCATGTAGGACCGTTGCAGCAGCACCAAAGCAGGAGGGCAAGCAACGAACTGGCCATAAGGTAGTGTCTATTGCTCTGCATGCCCACCGAATCACGCCCAGCAGGAGTTTTTGCAAGGGGTCAATGGATAATAATAATCATGGGTGTGTATGTATATATATCAAATCTGATTATAAAACTTATCAGCAAAATGCTTATTGAATAAATGCGTTTTAAGCAGCTTCTTGAATGATTGCGTGCTACCGGCAGTGCCGATTTCTGCTGGAAGAGCGTTCCACAGCTTAGGCGCAGCAACTTCAAATGCGCAGTCGCCCAGAGTGGTTAAAGATCTAATTCTTGGTCTCTCGAGCAACAGTTCTTTGGATGATCTTAAATTGTATCTTGATTCTGCCTTAGACTTAATGAGTTCAGTGATATATTCAGGTGATAGCCCATGGATAGCCTTATAGGTAATAAGTAATGTCTTAATGTCTATTCTGTATCTAACGGGTAGCTAATGTAATGTAGTTTGTGCAAGGCACGAGTGATGTGATCAAATCTACTGATATTACAGATAAGTCGCGCCGCAGCATTCTGTACTCGTTGAAGTTTACATAACTGATTGGCCGGTAGACCATAAAGGAGGCTATTACAATAGTCTAGTCGACTAGTAACTAAAGCATTAACTAGAGTTTGCACAGTATCATAGCTAAGGAATTTCCTGATACGTCCGATATTAAATAAATGGAAAAAAGCTGCTCTATAGCAGTTATTAATGTGCGAGTCCATTTTCAGCTGCGTGTCGAACCAAAAAAAAGCTCATAAAGTAAATACAATTATGAAACACATATAATTGTTTAAAATAAAAACTCTCCAAAGATGATGACGATACGAGCGAAGATGATGCATGATGCATGATATAAATTTTTACATCCACTTGTGAGGTGCGCACTGAATTCTGGGATTTCGTTATTCGCGCCTGCGCTGTGTAGTCACTGGGAGCTTGGCTAATCAGTTCGTTCTTCTTCAAACCATGAATTTATCAAATTCTTAACCTTTTTTCTCCCAAACTACTTCCCAAAACTAACAATATTCATTTTTAATCTAAAAAGTATCAAATGAGCTTCTTTGAAAGCTATAATTTACGGGTTTATGTGGTAAGAATACTTCGAAAAACCCAACTGGACGTAGGTATCCCATTGGACTTATGCGGCTATGTCTCGCCATGAAGGTACAGAATACGACCATCATTATTGCTTTCGATTGAATGGTTTATCCAGAAAATGGACTATTGTTTGTATTGAGCTTCATTGGGGTAAACGGTTTGATCAGGCAAACGACCTCTATTTGTGGTTTAATGCTTTGGGAATTTGTATTGTTGCAAAATCGAGTGTCGCGTTGAATTTTGTCCAAATTTTATCGTGTCATACTTAATAATCCCCACTAATTCACTCGTTTCCGTCTAGTTTATCTGTTATAAACTTTTCTCAAACTATAGCAAGGTTTAGTTAACCGACCATTCTCCGTTATTATGGTATGCCTGGTATATCGAAAGGAATGATAGTGAAAATGTAGGCTTCACGAGGGAAACAGGAAACAATGATTGAACAGATCTAGTTTGTACATTTTTACACATCTTTTATACATTACTCGGCATACAAAATGTCTAGAGTATAAAAAGATGTATTCCCTAAAGAATTTATCTATCATATAATTGGACCTCAAAATGTATACTAGTCTATTGCCAGATATTTTTGATAGTGAACAGTCTGTAGAATAGCACACTTTATCTTGAATATTTTGTACTATTTTTGTTGCCTTTTTTAATTATAAATATCACATAGATAATCTTGGTATTATAGTTCTATCCTCTCTCAGAATAAATTTTGATATTCATTACGGTGCATTTTATTGAGCATTTTTCATAACTAGGAAATATAATATACTCTTGTCTAGTCTTGGTGACATCATCTTTTGTTCCTCATGTCTTATAGAGTGCATTTAGTCACACTGTAGAATAGTTAGATAAATTTATCTAACTTAGATAACTACTGTATTTAGTTGATGTCACTTGAAATAGAAAGTATTCACAAAACCAATGGGCATGCGAATCTGGGGGAATCTACCAGAGAATGCATGAAGAGACAGTCAGTTACATCTTCATTTCCCCCCCTGATTTTCAGACCATTGGCACGTGTATTTTCAATTTATGTGACATCAACTAAAATAGCGAATAAATTATTTGATTTACGTGACGTTAACTATTCAACAGTAAGACTAAATTTTTTATTTTCTATTACCCCAGTTGTACAATGTATACACTGCACCTACAACAAGTAACCTACCACTAGAGCATGTTAAGGCTTGGTTTTTTAATGGATCGCTGAAAAACTATGTTTCTGCCACAACTCTATCAATCTTAAACATATGAAATTGAGTGTTGGAGCTAAAATCATCATTAGGTTTCTTGAAATTTTAAGAATGGTCATGTTGACTTCCGGTGGTCATGTGACCTTAAGGCGAGAAAAATAGAAATTTCAAAATGGGCTGAAATGCGAAATTGTTAAGTACAATAATCTTAACAAGAAACTGTCCGGAATAGTTGAAAATCATTCTTAGTTAAGGCAAAAAATAAAAATATCCAATATTTTGACTCGGTCACTTGACCTGTTTCGTCAATTATCCCTTTAGCCAAAAACGAAAGACACCTATTCCGGACAGATTCTTGTTAAGGTCAATATACTTAACAACTTCAAATAACTTCATATTTTCGATTCAAATAAAAACCACCAGCCCATTTTGAAATGTCTGTTTTGCTCTCCTTAATGTCACGTGACCACCGGAAGTCGAAAAGACCATGCTTAAAATTTTAAGAAACCGAAATATGACTTTAGGTCCAAAACTCAATGTCAAAAGCTTAAAAATGCTGCGATTTTTGTGGCAATTTTCGGGAATATGAAATCTTTTGTCTCATCCTTCAAAAGAGACATTTGTCTAGGAAAATCTTGGTATCCTGAATAAAACTTTACAAGTAAATTCTTTACCATTGATTATGGACAGGATCGCAGCAAAAATCGCAGCAAAAATCCCTGCAAAAATCGCTAGTGTAAACGGGGCTTAAGAGAGATGTGTCTTTACATGCAGAGGTTATTTATCCTCAAATGTTGAAACTATATATAATACTAATCTTGCAAATGAGATTACCTATAATTATCAAAATAGTTTCTAACCTATGATTTATTTGATTGACAGGTGTCAGCTGTGACTCATGTAATAAGGGCAATTTTAGAGGCAAACGCTTCAAATGTTTAATTTGCTATGATTATGATTTATGTTCTACGTGTTATGAAAACGGTGCAACTACTACAAGACATACAGCCGATCATCCAATGCAGTGCATTCTAACTAGGGCAGATTTTGGTGAGTCAATTACTCCTATTTCTTCACAAACTGATCCTTGACCTTTGCCTTAGCTTGTTCCATACTAGTAAAGTACAACCCAACATTGTATTCTAATGTAGAAACGGTAACCGGTCTTTTCGAACCAAAGTCTTTTTGATCCAGGTGTTTTCGAACCAGGTCCAGGTCTTTTCAAACCACCTATATACACTTTCAATCCACCTTTTTAACTAAAGCATGTAACATGTCCTATATGCCGTGTACATAGTTAATGTAAAAGAGTATAGTTTAAAAAGTTGTCTTGAGCACAGAATAAAAGATTATGATCAAAAAAGAAATCAAAACTATGCACGTTGGACTATGAGTTTGGCTGGGCATGATGTTTACATCGGTGTCACGGACTTTTTCAAACAAACTCCTTTAACCTGTCTTAAATAGTAGGACATTGTTTTAAATTCTTGTTTATAGTATCTAACAACTGTGTCTAAACATGAAGTGGAAATACCATTGGCCAAGTCCAGCATATGAAATGCTAACTGTTTTTGTAATTGATCAAATTGTTTTAGATCTATAAAATATTTCATAACTGTATTAGATAGAATGTGTATGTATGTGGATCAAATGTGTATATAGGTGGTTCCAAAAGACCTGGACCTGGTTCGAAAAGACCTGGATCAAAAAGACTTTGGTTCAAAAAGACTGGTATTCATAGAAACTTCAGTTTCTCAAAATAATTATCTTGGATTTTTTGTGAAAACAAAATTTGAAGTCTGGAAGCAGAGTTCAGAATTCGGAGATGTATGAAACTTCTGAATTTTGGACAGTTAGGAAGTAATGTGAAACACTGTAATAATAATTACATGTGCCTCCTTTTCATTTAACAGTATAATTAGTTTACATTCAAAATTATGTTTACCAAAACATGCACACTTTTACTTTAACACAGTACTATCTAAGCATTAATTTTATTTTCAATTTTAGATCTATATTATGGTGGGGAAGCATTCACAGCAGACCAGCCACAGGCTTTTACTTGTCCATATTGCAGTAAAATTGGTTTTACAGAAGCCTTGTTGCAGGAACATGTAACATCTGAACATGCAGATGCATCTATAGAAGTGGTATGTGTACTGATCTAGCATTTATTTCCTTTTATCAAAATAGAAAATACAGTAGAAGAATTGCGACTGTACACCTTTATTGGTATAAAATAAAAATGATTTTAAAATAATTTTTTTTGAATCAAACAATGTCCCATAAATAAATGTAAATGAAAAATCCCAACCATTATTCTATTTTAGTACATAGATGTTTGTTCAAGATTTTGTTTTGATTTGCTATGTCTCATTTACCCAGATCTCATGGTGTGATGCACCATGGGACACCCTGGGTGCAAAAGTGTTTCATTCTGTACAAATGTGCACCCAACTGCTACCATGAATTGCTTGAATACTTTTGAAAGCTCTGACAGTTTAAGCTGTTTTCTTGTTTTGTGATTCGCTATAGAGGTTTTGCACCATCACGTGACAGCAGCCATGTTAGTTTGCAGGAACAATACAATCATTTTACATGAGAAAGAATTCAATTCCCGAGGGATCTTATTGTTCTGCCATTTAACCACAGGCAGTCCAAGCTGTATTATGGGCGCCAACACGTGATGGTGCAAAACCTCTATTGATTAAGCACTGATACAAAGAAAAGTTTGAAATGTTCTCAAATATAGAGTTCAGTTAGTTGACCACTGGACTTGAGTAGGAGGTTGTGGGTTCAATTGCCCTATTTCACTATGACGTCACATCAAAACAATCTATTGTGTAAACGCAGAGGATCATGGTTGTCGGACGGGGTCAAATCAACACAAACTAACCGAAAATTGTTCTAAATCCTGTATCATTCCATGAAGAGAAGTAGAATAGCCAGCAAACGCTCAGCATATTTTTTAGTACATATTAACACATATTATATCTGAAAACCAGGCAATTTTAGATTAAACTGTTTCGCTAGGAGCAAATTTAGTTGAATTTTCTATTGTATTTGGCGATTCTATCCCCGACATATACAAGCAGTGACGTCATAGTGAAATAGGGCATTTCACTTGCTGGATCAACACTTAAGCCTGGTTCACACGAGCAACGAAAATGTTAACTCAAGCAAAATTATGTGTGAAATAACAAATAGCAACAGAAATGCAATGCAAGGGATTGAAACTTTTTCATTTTATTGTGCTGGTGTTTTCATGTGCAATACCATTTTTCATGTTAACTAAAAATAGATATTGCAAAGCCTTGTGGGATTGAAATGCAGAAAAACATTGCAAATAAAAGCTTCGATTACGTGGAAAAAAGAATATCAGTCGAAAAACCATAGTTCTTCAATAGATTAGAAACAAGACTACGGTACAAAACATTGTTGCAGCATGTTTGCATGTGCGCTTTGCTTGGCTTTTCTGCATTTCAATGACATGACATACAATTGTGATGTTATCTGTGGAGAATGCTATTTTTAACATGCGAACATGTGTTTACAAAATAACCACCAAGGACATAAAAAATCCTGGCAGTGACTACCTCAGTGTCTTGCCTCCATTAGTGACTGGTTATGCTTGTATGGACCTCACACAGAGTCCTTTTATTACCCTATTATTCAATGAAATAAAATGTATTATCATATGACCCGTATCTGCCCGGGCGCGCTCTCTTAGAAAAACATTTGGGAAAATGACGCAAGCAGGGCTGTACGAATCTGTACGGCCCTGCTCGAATCTGTGTGCTTTCTCTTTTTTAGCTTTTATTTACTATTTCTTTCTTTCTTTTGTTTTATTTTATTTATTTTTTTCGTGAGAGACATATGATAAAATGCTCATTGACTAAGTTTGGTCGGACCGTACGGGAAAATATTTGGCTGGTCATTTGTATGGACCTCGCCACGCTCGGTCCGTACAGCATCACCTCAAGCCAAATATTTTCCTGTAGGGCCCTCCCACTCAGTCAATAAGTACATATTATGAATATTCAAAAGTATGGAAAAACACCATCAGAATAATGCAATACACTGATGTCTAACATGCTAATTTTATCACAGGTGTGTCCTGTGTGTGCCGCACTTCCTGGTGGTGACCCTAATCATGTCACGGATGATTTTGCCGCACATCTCACTTTGGAGCACAGGGCTCCAAGGGATATCATATCCTTTCTACATTAATTTATTAAAGGTTTTTGCTTGATTTGTATTTATTATTGTTGTAATTGTTTCATTTAAGCTAATTTTATGTAGATGATACAGTAATTTGTTTTTGAGTGAACTGAAACAATACTATACATGTTCACAGACATTGCTTTCTTTCAGCATTTCTTTCTTTCCATTTTCTTTTAAATTACCTAAAAAATAAGTATACCTTTTCTCTCATAATCTCTCATAATTTTGTAAGAGATTTATCCTTAATAATTCCTCACGATGAACCAGGTACTGGCAGACAAGTAAGGCGAATGTTTCACCCTGGTCGAGGGGTAAGCGGGCCAAGACCTCCAAGACCCAGAACAGGGGCAATGAATTTTAGCAGTTCCAGTGGCAGTTCTCTTGGACCTACAAGTTCTTCTGCAACTTCTAGTTCTAGTTTTAGAGAAAGTATGGATCCTATTGCTGAACTCCTGTCCCAGTTGTCAGGTGTGCGGCGAGCTGCGCAACAGGCACAACCGCCAGTACAGTCTCAGCTACAGTTATTACAGCAGCAGCTACAATTAGAAAGACAGCAGGTGCAACAGACAAGAGAAAGACTAGAAAGACTTCCTCAACGACGACAAGCTGCTGCTAGTAATAATCAGACTAGTAATGTGACTTCAAGTCAAGAAAACAACAATTCATCTAATTCTCAGTTTTTATTATCCAGGTCAGTTTTCCCTCTAATGCTGGTTAATTACTTCATCGCTGCCATCTTCAACAAATCTCACGTTGTTTGGAAACCTATGATATACAATGCTGCATTTCTTCTTAGTAATATGCCAAACAACACATTTCTACTACTTATTTCAGACATCTCAGGGATAACAATAAATATTCCAAACAGGAATAAATGTCAACAGGCATGATTCTATAAAGGGTATAAAGCAGAACTCAAGCAAAAATCTTGTGCCACAACTTTATTGGCTAGGATCATGGCTGGCTTTTTGCATAGTTTCTGTGCCAACACAATCCCTGGTTAACTTCTTATTTCATTTTTCAGGGCTAATGAACCTGCACTGTCAGACAGCGAGCAGGAAGAACTTGAAGCAGATAGGGCAGACCGTTCCCTTTTCGTTCAAGATTTAATTGTATCAAGCCTTGGGTCTATCACCCTTCAGAAAGATTCCACATCAAAACATGAAAGATTTGTGGAGGAATTTTCACAGCTCTCACTGGAACAGCAAGCTGAGGGAGACAGAGGAGCATCAGCTTGTGGTGGGGACAGCCTTTCATATCATAAAACTGATTGCAATTTATTAGAGACTCAAACAGACCCTCATAATCAAGACATTGAAGTTATTAACCTTGAAACAGAGGATGACAAAGATTCATAACATATTAACCCTGACCTCAGAATGAGCCAGTTCAAGTAAAAGTTGGAGGATAAGAATAAACCATCATCATCAATAATGCATCTAATGATATGCTTCCCATAGCTACAGTACGCAGGCATCCACGTCTGCTACAACTATGATTCAACTTATTTGACATATTATATTGTTCCACTGTAACAACATTTTACATCCTAGAAAATAATAGTAAATGTAAAACAATGTTTGTGGAGGAAATAACTATGTCAACTTGTGCTGGAAAAATATGACACAGAATGTTGCTTCTGTTGTTTTGTTTATTGAGATTGAAAACAAAAATAAAATGATAGATAGTCATGCCAATCTAGGTATAGAGAGTATGGCTTTGATGATTCTGTACAGTTTTGCTGGAACCTGATTTTCATGCTTCAATGTTTAGTCTTTTTGTATATTGCTAAATGCAAACCAAGTAGAATTGATGTGTAGAATCATTAAGAAATCATTGTGAAAAAACTTGGTGTAAAATATGACACAAGAAAGCAGACTCCTTTTTTTACTATGTGTATGTTTAAAACAATTTCTAGTTACTCCAGTGTTGAATCATATCTTCACTCATTAGAAAAAGAATGAATAGATGGAATTCTGTCAGTGAAAATAAAATGAAATGTGAAAACTAACTTGTGAGGTAAATCTTGTTATTAATGTCTAGTTGCCATTAGAGCTTAATAAATAAATAAATTTCTTACTGGTGGGGAAAAAAATCCTTAAAACGGGCTAAGTTAAAAAAATAACCACACAGAGCGAAAGAAGTGCTATTTCTCAATGATCGGGTAAAATTTATTTCACGTTTCAATGATGTTATTTAAATTTTTGATGAATCCCCATACATTTCCTTATGACATGACACCACAGAAACCAAGCTTGGGCTACCTGTGGGACCACAGCAAAATTGTGTGGCTGTCCACAAATGAGGTGCTTCTTGCTGGGTTATGGCTTTCATAATGGTAGGTGATAGCTAACCACAAAGCAAGGTTCATTACAGTTGCATAATTTATTTCCATTTTCAATATATTTCTAATTTACATCTGTGAAGGTCTAAAAACAGGGAGCCCAATTTAGTAAAACAAAATAGTAAAACATACATGTAAGTCTACATGTGTGCGGTTATCTATGTGGAGGTTTTTGCTTTTGCTTCTGAAGAATTACTCTATAGAGAACTCGCATGGAAACCATGATGCATCATGTGGGGTAGAGAAAAATGCCTTTATGACCTCACTTCTATGTACTCGTCCTTAGTCCAAACCCTGTTTGGTGGCCATTAAGACTAAGGTGAATAGCGGGAAAAGGTTAGTGAACAACAAATTTCATACTGGTTTTTTGCTTGATTTTCCTATTTGCTTGTATTATGAAGCACACTTTCTTGGCCTCTAACTCATTTTTTTCTGATTTAACATATTTTACAAATTTAATTTCTGTCTAGCACTTATCTAAATTGGGCTCCCTATGGTCTAAAGCATTCAAATAACATTTTGATTGTTTCTTGAAATTCTTCTTTGTTTTGTAATTGTGCTAACAATTGATTGTGTTTGATTGATAAAACAGTTTTATTTGAAGATATTTTGCACACACATTTTTCAGATTGGCTTGACACTTTTCTGTCCAACATTGTTATCAAGTGGCTGAAATAAAGATTCTTCAGTTTTTAACTTGTCTAGGAATGTTTTTCGCCTTAAATTAAGTTCCTCTGCTAAACTCCTCATCTCTTGTTTAGTGAAACCATCACCTAGAAAATTATTAAAAAATAATTATGATTATGGAATTTTATGTTCTGTGATGCTGCACTGATTTTGATATAACAGTCAATTGACATTTTTAGCTTCGGTATATTTTTTTCCGTTTTGGACCATGTGTCATTCCCTAGAGTATCATTTTTTTATTTAACGGTTGTGCATTAGAATACAAATGAATATGACTAAAAAAAAATCTTATTTTCAAGAGAATGACATGATCTGAAATGGAAAAACACATAGCAAACATAATATAATATAATAGGCCCTTTGCAGTTAACGGTCACATGTCTGTACTGGACTGCAAAATTTTTGTTTTTATATTAAATTGGTGTTTCTTTTTAGCTACTTGTAAAGAACTGAATGAAAACATGTGTATCTAGTGTGTTATGAAATGCAGTTTTATTACGATCTCTCGAAACAGGTTGTAGAAAGTTTGTTTGCACTCCAGTAAATTTAACCCATGAATCAAAATGTTCATTCATTTGCTCTCAGTGAATTAATCAGCAGGTGATTGCTTAGCTGCAAAGGGCCTATTGCTCTTACTAGACCTTTTGCTTTGGCCATTTTGTCTGTAATGACCTTTCGGAGGGTCTGGTCTGCTTGATGCATCATACTAGTCAAGTTTGCTGCTCTGGCTTCCTCCTGAAAAAATGAAGCATTAGTAAGACTTTATTTTACAGAATTAGAGCTTGTCAATGTGTCAATTATTGTCCATAATTTGATAATGTACTTGGGACAGCTGAAAACATCTTGTTTTATACAAAACAAATACCTGACACAAAATAGACACACATTCCCATAAAGTAAATTTGGAATTTCCAAAGGGCAGGGATATACTGTACCTTCTCTTCTTTATTTTCTTCTGGCAGTGGTTGAACAGGGTTTAAAGCAGCTTCCGCCATCAATGATAATAATCTGGTTCTTCAAAAGTAACAAAAAGATTAGATTCCCTTCCATATTTCAACTGCCCAGACAAAAGCTTAAGGTAGGTGAAGGTATTCCATAAATAAACAAATGTTTTCAGACAAAAGCAACTAGGAAAGGAATAAATCCATAAATCCATAATTTCAAACTTACAAATAGGAGTTAGTTCCATCATCATTTGCATCGAGTACCATACTGTACTCTTCCCATGGATATTTATCAGGTGATGGAGGTTCTAGCTTAGTTGCCATGGTTACTATGGTGTTCCTATCTATTGGGTTTCCTCTTTGGCTGTTTCTATCCAAAGCTGTGTTAACCGGGCATTCTATAAACACTTGCATATAGCCCAGACCATCTAAAAAGCAAATCGTTTTTCACAACACTAAGGGAGTGTGGCACACTAATGGAGGTGGTTCAAAAGAGTTGTCAATCACTGGACATGTAACTTACATTTTCTTGCAAGAAGGAAGTACTCATGCCTCATACTGCGATAATACATGTTGTCGTCAACCAGTAGTATGTGAGCAGTATGGATCCACCTGGTAATCAATGATAATCTTTTGTTAATTTTTTAACAATATTTTGTGGAATCACAAGCAAGCCTGACCTGAACTTGTGTGCACCTGGTAGCATTGACCACTTTCCACATTGGCCAAACACTAAGCATTCAGTTAGTGGTGCAAGGGACAAATTTGAACAATCTATTGAAATTACTTTGCAACCTCAACTTATGCTCATTGCTTTGCGCTTACGAAGTGAGGCAATTTATAGAGGGTGGTCCAGACTTGAACATAGAGCAGCATTTGCCTAATAACAGGGCTGTCAACCCCCGAGGTATTCAAATCTTGAGAATTGATAGCGAAGGGACATGACGTCACAGCGGAAAAAAGCGTGCGAAAAGCCGTCATTCGCTTTGTAACATTTGATGTGATTGGTTTATTTCTGAACAATCAGATTATCATTTATATTACAATGGCCTGCTTGCAAGAACAGTTTACGAGGAATGTTTTGATTTTGTTAGTGATGTAAAATAACACAAACAACACGAAATAATTGGAATTTTATGGTTGTAAAAGTCGAGTCTCACAAGAAATGGTCAGCTTTGGCGATTATCCGGGAGATTTGAGACTCTAATCTGGAGACCGGGAGACACGGTCCAAAATCTGGAGACTCCCGGTTTATCCGGGAGAGTTGACAGCCCTGTAATAATTATCTCTTAGTATAATTCTTTAACTGTATTAAGAGTACACGATTAATAATTAAAGATAAATGATAATAAGTTCAATCAAATTATATGCATTTATGTAAGCAATATTTCCCATCTCTTCCCCTTGCTATTTTATAATCGTGAGCCCATATCCTCTAGGAGTTTTCCAATGGCAACACTGCATTATCCGATGCCTATAAGTTTTTATTTTAGATGTTTACACACTTTTGAGAACTCAAGCAGGCACAGGACATATCCTTTCTTGCCGTCTGTTCATAAAATGTTTTCCAGAAATCTTGAAAGGAAGGTAGTTCAAAAGTATTTTTCACAACATCGTTTTCCTCATTTAAGTCAAAAGTAATGTCCTGAATTTGTTGTGCAATTCTTTCAACACATTGGATAATCAATTTTCTATAATGTTTCCAAGCTGAGATGCTAGCGCTCGAGTGCAGATCATCGAATTCCAAGTCCTCTTTTTGGTCATTGAGAGACGAAGTTTGCAAGTCTAGATTTACAGGAATTAACTCATCATAACAGATATGCAAAACGTGAACTTTATCCTCCTTGCAACGCCTGCTCCATTTTTTCATGGAATTTGCCAAATGCGTTTTCCCAGAGGCAGGAATTCCACATAAAATCATCAAAACTGGATTAATATTTTTTTGATTGTCGGCCATGTTTGTTTATGCAGCCAGACCTTATCACAGGTAGCCCAAGCTTGGTTTCTGTGGTGTCCTGTTATAAGGAAATGTATGGGGATCAATCAAAAGTTTCAATAAAATCATTGAAACGTGAAATAAAGCCTCGAAATTTTACCCGATCATTGAGAAATAGCACTTCTTTCGCTCTGCGTGGTTATTTTTTGAATTTAGCCCGTTTTAAGATTTCCCCCCCCCCCACCAATTGGGCTACCTGTGGACCTTATCAGTCGTAGATGGAAGCTTGGTGCGTAGTATATTCACGTGCTGATCACGTGCTGATCACGTGAACACGTGCCGATACTTGGTCCCAGTTCATTGCGGTTCATTCAAGATGGCGGAAGGGTGTTTGCGCGCGGGTCATTGATCGTCCTATTCTTCTTCTTTCAACCTGTCGTTAAAGCACTAAAAAAGCTAAAATGCCGGTAATATCTCGCCGACATGTTAATATCGCTGGAACGACGGCAGTGGTTGCAGGCAGTGCATACTTTCTCAAAGAATTCGGTCCAGTTTTGTGTCAAAAATTCAAGTCTCGCTTTTTAACAGCGGGAGATATTCCTCCCGATAGAGAAGAGGTGATTTTACGGCCCAATGCCGGCAAAAACGTTTTTAAAGTTAAAAACACCCTTGTCATAGACAAAGAGTTTATTGACCAACTTTTAAAGCTTTTAAAAATAGTAATTCCTCGAGTATGGAGCAAGCAGGTTGTGTTGCTGTTTTTTCATTCAAGCTGCTTAGTAGCAAGAACGTTTCTGTCAATTTACGTGGCCACACTTGATGGTCAAGTCATTAAGTCAATTGTGCAAAAAAATGCACGAAAATTTGCTTTCCATTTGATGAAGTGGATAGCAGTTGCAATACCGGCAACTTTTATCAATAGTATGATTCGTTACCTGGAAAATAGGATTGCTTTAGCATTTCGCAGCGAGCTTGTCAATCACGCCTACAAAAAGTACTTCGCCAATCAGACGTATTACCGGGTATGCAATCTAGACAGCCGTTTAACCAATGCCGACGAATGCCTGACGGAAGATATTCGTATGTTCTGTAGTTCAATAGCTCATCTATATTCACACCTCACCAAGCCATGTTTAGATGTATTGGTTATTGTTTGGACATTGAATAGAATGGCTAGGAAGAGAGGCACCTCATGGAAACTGCCTTCAACAATTGCTAGTGTTGTCATTTATGTGACAGCCATCACGTTACGTGCTCTTTCACCAAAGTTTGGGAAAATGGCGGCTGAAGAATCCAAGCGCAGAGGTCACTTAAGACACCTGCATTCCAGAGTCATCAACAATGCTGAAGAAATTGCTTTTTATAATGGCCATAAGGTAAGATGATCCAGAGCGAGGACTAAGTTAGGTTCATGGGTGACCCCAGGGGGGGGGGGGGGTGTTATTATATATATATGTATACAGTATTCTGGAACTATGAGTTTTCCAATCCTATGGTATTTTCAGTGGGTAGTGGTAGTAGACTCCACCCTCACCCCTGGGGTCTCTAAATTCCAGGACTCAAGATTACACGTGAGTAGAGTTTCCTAGCTCTCTCCTTTAGTTTAAGGGTTTTTTCTTCAAGTTCTTCTCGCACCTCTGCAAAACCTTACAAGCTAAATTCAATCTATAAGTTGCCATCTTGGTTTATATAACTGTCTAATGCTTTCACTTGTCATAATTTTTCCTACAGGTAGAGCAGTCCTGGTTGCTAAAGGGCTTTAAATCATTAGCTGACCAAATGGAATTGATCTTCTTTAAGCGCCTGTGGTATGTAATGCTAGAGCAGTTCTTGATGAAGTATGTTTGGAGTGCTGCAGGGCTGTGTATGGTGGCTTCAAGTATTTTAATGGGTTCTGGTAAGTTTCAAGGTTTTTTATATGCTGTCACTCAATAGGCTAGTTTCGAATTCCAAATTACCGCTGTGTTCCTTGATTACAGATTCATTTGCACAGGGTTAGCCTCGTATCAGTGTTTAAATATTCACAAATACCAACGGAAAAGTAAAGAATGCACAACTTCAACWATAAAAACACTTTGAAACTCGACAGACCTTGACTGGAACATGTGAATATTCTGCACAAACTGGAGGCTAACCTTGTGCAACTGAGTCTGTAATCAAGAAACACAGCAGTAATTTGGAATCCTAAACGGGTCTATTTTGACCACTAACCACACTTGTGCAACTCAAATGAATTGTTGGCCATCAGGGCCYGGTTGTACGAAGCCTGGATAGCATTATCCGGTGGATGAATTTATCAGATAACAGCATCAATTTATCTACTGGATAAGGATTTGTCCACAAAATATCGCTATCCAGGCTTCATACAACCGGGTCCAACATTTTAGCAACTGTCAATCAAATACAGCTAAACTCGTTAAACAGAAATCAGCTTTGCATAGATTATTACTTCACAATTATTGTTGCTTGTTTTTGTCCTACGGATATGCATTACTTCTAAATCTGAACAGACATTGTCTATACAAACACTTTTGCTTGTCCTCTAGGCATCTTTGTTGTGGGACTAATTAAAAGTCTATTCAATGGGGGTTTATAATAGTGGTACTAGAAATGAATATTGGTATTCATCAACCAATGTTGGCCCTCGCAATCTTGATTTGGACCGACTTTACTTTACATGTAACTGATAGTTTTTAATTGATTAACACAGAAGAGGGAGCTGCAGTAGAAGACAATGGGGTTAGTAATAGGGCTCAGCAGATCACAACTTCTAGACATCTTCTTATATCAGCTGCAGATGCCATAGAGAGGATCATGTCTTCTTATAAGGAGGTAAGAGAGTGTACTGTATCAGTGTTATGGTTGCACAGAGTTCATTGATTTGGTTGATAGATATCTTTGTATTTTTTTTTGGGGCCTCCTGTGGAGGGTAAAGAAAGAGGGAGACTGAGTCCCTCAGTGAAATTAGAATRCCTAGTATTCTATGCAGTCACTGTTAAAGTCATGATCACATTAATAAGCTTTCTAGCTATGGGAGTAAACTTTGAGTGACAGTGGCTGCATATGACACTATAGGTAACCATGTGTCTGCTCGTACTAGTGGAGTTTTCGTATGACTGTGAAAAGCTCAGTGCCATAAGCGTGAGGTGCTGTGACATTGATGCTTTCTAGAATCTTAATTGGCTGATTTTTTTCACGTGCAATGTGATTGGTCTGGCATTGCCTTGACCTTGGCGTGACCGTGTCCGCGCCATGTTTATGCTGTGTTCAAGGTATTTGATTGGATGGAGAGTAAATTCTCGTGCAATGTGACTGGTCTGGCATATCCCTTGCTGTGTCATGGCTGTGTTCGTGCCGTGAATTTTTCACAGTCATACGAAATTAACTGCACTATGTTATAATTACAGATCACGGAGCTCAGTGGTTACACCAGCAGAGTATCTGAAATGCTCTCAGTCTTTGAAGACATTAAAAAAGGCCACTGTATGAGAGCATTGGAAAACTCTGATTCATCCATCACTATGGAAAACTGTGGTAAGGTTGCTAAGCCTGGACAGGTCGTAAAACTGGACCAGATGCCTGGTGGCCATGTAACAGATACCGATGGAAATATTTCTTTAAAAGATGTGGCCATTATAACTCCTTGTGGGGATGTTGTAGTGTCAGGGCTAACACTTGAGGTAAGTAGTGTGCTAAATACTGTACTATAACAAAATTATTTCCAAAGTTTGTTTTATTATTTTCTTTATTTTGTTAAAGCCTGATCACCTACATAGAATTTCTCACTTTTCTCAAGAATTGATTTTATTCATCTTGTTTCATAAGGATTTTATTCTATACTTTCTTTATAGCTACAGCCTGGCATGCATTTGCTCATAACTGGTCCAAATGGATGCGGAAAGAGTTCATTGTTCCGTATCCTGAGTGGACTTTGGCCTATTTATATGGGACACCTCGCCAAGCCTCCTCCAAGTCACATGTTTTACATTCCACAAAGGTGGGAAGTCTTTCTTTTAAATACTTACAGTCATCATAGTTCTTCCAAGAATATTGCAATTTAGGTTGTCCAAAATGTTCATCTACCTCCTACCACAGTTTATATTTCTACGTGCTGATCAAGACAACGGTCCATACAGGGAAATCGGGCAGTTGAATGAAATAAACCACTAGAGTACGTAAAGGATTGAGTCTATTGCCAGGTCCTGTTGCAACTGTTGTCTTGATCTGAGCATAGCAATGAAACAATGGTAAGTGACTTGTGCGTTGCCCACCCTGGCTTGCAGTGGTTAGTACATGTACTATATATCATAAAAATTTTAATAATTTATTATGCTTGCAGGCCCTACATGCCCATTGGATCTTTGCTTGATCAAGTGATATACCCTGATGGCATAGAGGATATGAGAAAGAAAGGAATCAGTGAAAAGGACTTGGAAGACATTCTACATACTGTTCATTTACAGTACATCGTTAAAAGAGAAGGAGGTGGGTAAGGTTGTTGGTGTCAGCTTGCATAACGGTCAATCAGTTATCAGTCATGATCACCAGAGAAATTAGTCTTAGCTCAGTCATACCTCCTTTCTGGCTCAACGTTACTGATCAAAATATCCAACATTACAGAGATTTGACTGCACAAGTTCCATTTCTGCCCAGACATTGTCTGATGACCAGAGGTTATTTTTGGCCAAACATGTTGATGAAGTACTAAAGAATGTAAAGAAATGGTTTTTGATCCCAGTTGGATCACTATGACAACTATGAATATTGTTATTTTAGGATGGAATACTGTAAAAGAATGGAAAGATGTCTTTTCTGGAGGGGAGAAGCAAAGAATGGGTATGGCAAGGCTGTTTTACCACAGGTAAACTGATTTTACAGATAAAACCATTAAAGATAACTAGCCATGATTAATATGATACATATACATAACTGAAACATTTTACATGTATAACCCTTTAAAAAATCTGTTGGTTTTATTGCCTCATAAAAGGAACCATTTTGAAAATTATTAGTTACAAAATGCTTTTTCCCCCTGGAAATCATTAATAGATAGTTAATATTATTGAATTCTTTTACAGGCCTCAATTTGCACTTCTTGATGAATGCACAAGTGCTGTCAGCATTGATGTAGAAGGTAGTATATTCCAGGCAGCAAAGGATTGTGGAATAACACTTCTCAGTATATCACACAGACCATCATTATGGTGAGTTAAAAAAAGATTAGTTAGTTTTAACAAGTACACACTTAGAAATATGGATCCTTGGATTGGTTGGTTTGTTTCCCTTTATTCACAGCCTTTTCTCTGGGTCCTCAGGCTTTCTCTTCTGTAACACTCAAATATTTCCAATTCTTCCTTCAATTTTTTTTCTTAGTTATTGAGGGAATCAAGGGTGGAATAGAAAATATAAGGCACTCACCTTTCATCCCTCAACAAAACCTACCATGCTAAATTATAAGTAATAATAAAAGGGTAAATTTTACACTGTGAAAAGATGAAAAAACTGACGTTTTGGACGCTAGTCCTTGGTCGGAGTAAAAGAGCTAAATCCTAAATTATAGTTTAATCTGCAACTAGTTAGACATACCCTACCTTTGAGGAAGATCAGAGGTTGTTTCAATAAAAAAACAGATGTTGATGAAGATATTTCAACGAGTCTTGAATTTGTTCTAGGAAATACCATACACACCTGTTGCAGTTTGATGGAGAAGGAGGATGGAAGTGGGAAGAACTGGACACAGCAACAAGACTGACTCTAAATGAAGAAAAACAAAGACTTGAAGCACAGCTAGCAGGCATCCCAGCCATGCAGCAACGACTCAAGGACCTTTGTTTGTTGCTAGGAGATGATTCTGTCTTGTGCAGATAATCTTATAATATTATTTATTGATTTTAATAGAAACTTGTTACATCATACATGTATCTTCGTCATTTTAAGAATTTTAAGATTGACTATAAACTTTAAGATTAAACTATGGAATGTTATAGTTCGGATGGTTGTGTCTTGTGATGTTTTTAATCGAATATTCAATAAAATATTGATGTTGTTTACTTTGTTATTGTCAATGTCATAGGTCAGTATGAGGAAACAGTACAGGAATCATCAACAGTACATCAGCAGTGATCGTATGTAGGTAGACAATATGTAGCATACTTACAGTATCCCTCTCTTGGGGCTATATCGTCGTGTACAGGAATTTTCAGGGGAATTCTATTCAAATTCAAATTTCAAGTAGTTGGCCAGTAGTTGAACCCTACGATAGCATAAATTAAGCTATAAAAAATTTGCGAATTTGCTTCGTGGTTGAGTGGTTAGGGTTGGGGTTGGGGTTGGCATTGTAGTAGTTCTTTGGTGCCAAAGGTGTTGAGTTCAATTCTTGGTGTCTTCACTTAATTTTTTTTCTAAGTGAGGAGAACCAAACTCCTCAAAAAATTCCACTCGTCCCACTTGTGTGTTCAGAAACCTATGACGTACTTCATTAACCTGTACACGACAATACTACCTTCTTGGGAGGTTCAGTATTGTAGCCTATAGGTAAAGTAATTTGTAGATTGATGTAATGGAGTACTTTGATGATTTGGTGGCCATCTTGGATCAAGGCATTATGGGACGTTAAGGGGGAAAATAATGCTTTGTTACAGTAATACCATCACCACAAGAGAATACATCACAAAAGAACTGCTATAAATCTTGCATTCTGATTGTTTTGGAGTGTGTGCTTCATGAGAGCACACAGCATGTGTGTGCACTTTCAGTTGCGTCATTCCTAACCAAAATAAAGGCTATTGTAATTTATATTTTATAAAAGAAATAGAAAACTTGTTTGCCCTGCTGTGTGAAGTTATAAAGCACTTGGGGATTGGCAACTTGAGAAGCGTTGAGAAGTACAACACAACTCAGCTATGCGTTGCGCTTCTCCTGACACTTCTCGTGTTCTGCCAATCCCCGCACGCTTTATAACTGCTTTATAACTATTTCTTCAACAAAAGACAAGTTAGACAGCACATTGATCACCTTAATTTCCACATGCAATAAAGACAAACACACAAAACTTTATACTATATTTTCCATATCTTTGTTTTATTATGCTGTCTGGCAAGATGATTGCCATATTGTTGAAGTACTTTATTATGTGATCATAGTTAATAAAGGTCCCTCAATAAGTATGATAATTTACAGCCACAAGCCATTTATTGTTTTCTTTGATAAGGTGCAGTGATAGACCTCTTTACCTTAGGCGTAATGTTTTCACATTTCAGATCAGACCATATGTCATTCCCTAGAATATCATGTCTTTGTTTTACGTTTTGCACATAAAAAGATGTGCATGGACGAGACTCAAAAAAGAATCTTATTCTCAAGAGAATGAAATGGGAGGTCTATTAAATTTTAGATATCTACATAGAGTGATTCTACATGCTTATTAAGTTAGTGGAATTTAATTGTTGTTTTCTGTCATTGATGGAGTGCCAAAGCTTTTGTGCAACTGTTTAATTGACTTACAATAAATTTCATGTTTTAATTTTCTGTAAATTCAACAACTTCAAGTTTAATTTTTCAGGATTTGCAAAACCAATTAAAAATTGATTTGATGTAGTGAAACTGTACTGCCAAAATGGTAGTCACATCTTCAATTTCCTGGGACATTGAAATGAATACTCAGGAGTAAAATGTCTGTTTCATAAAGGATATTTAGAACAAATTAGTGTTTCCACTTTATTGGAGTTTGCGGATATCTACCCAAAAAAGTTTTGATTACTATGAAGCTAAACAACTTTAGCCAAAGGTGACAATATGCTTTTATGATTTATTTAAGTGTCATCTCCTGTTTACAATGAATGAGTAAACTATTAGCATTCAACTATAATACTATAAATGTAGAGTGAAAATGAGAGGTGCAATAATTATGTGATGATGATACGATTCAATTATATTTGGATATTTTCATATAATATTTCCATTATTTTGTATTCTTTAACTACTGAGTGACATACAGCCTTCCCTTCTGGCTTCTGTTGGAGAAGTTGTTATTTCGGCTGCAAGCATAATAGTAGGTGCCCTTGTTAACCTGCAGTATCATGCCAGCATAGGAAGCAGGTGCGTTGTTCAACAAGTTGTTCATGGCTGCTTTGGTATCAGTAGATTGTTTATCACATCCGTCTTTCTTCTTTAGGCATGCGTAATAGCCGCTACTTGCCATACTAATGGCAATGTCCTCTGGTGCAGGAGCAGTCTTGTAAGGGAAGCTGGTCCAAACAGCTGCAGAATTCTTGAACAGAGTTGCTCTCTCCCAAGGTAATGGGAAGTTGTCTAGAGGGTCTTGAGTTTCAACAATGTTGTTTCGGTCAGTACCTGAAAGAAAGGTGAACTCCATTAGCATTTTTTATCAATAGGCATCATTTTCAGTTCAGGACTATTTTCATGGCTAGTGCTAGTGAACAGGTTGGGCTTATTGAGCTGGACATGAAATGATCTAGCCTAGTGGTGGAGCTACTTCGCACTATGCTTAGTCAAAGTCATCCCCTTCCTTAATTCCCTCCCCTACCAAAAGATTCAGTTTTTATCTTACACGACAGGCAAAAAATTTAGACACCCATGAACCCCAGTTACAACTGCATTGTAGGTCAATCCATGTTGTGAACTTGTTTAAAGAATTGCCCTATTTCATAATGATGTCACATCAAAGCAAACTATTGTTTTAACACTAGGGATCATGGTCGCTGGAGGGGGATGGAATGACAACAACACATCTTAAATCACAATGAAATTTGGTTTATGAGCTGGTGAAGGAAAGAACGACTAAATATTATGCTAAACTATCTTGAAAGAGAATTAAGCTTAAATTTAGCCTAAATCATTTTAGCCAATGTAAACCAACCGTGACGTCATTATGATATAGGGCAATTACTTATAGACAATATTTTTATACTAACCAGATGTTCCTTCACCAGCATCTCCAGCCTGTCCATCACCTGCAGGGTTGCCATTCTTGTGACTATTGGATCCTGTCAAAATTCATTAATACCAATGACTACAATGTGTACTCCTTGATTTGAGGGTACAACTTGTTAGGCAGTCACTAACAAACCTGTGGCTCTCATTTCATGATGGAATTGGAATTTTAGAAATTTATTTATGCAGAGTGAGGAACTTATGAATCTAGAGAAAAAAAGCCCAAAGTACAGAGAAGACCCAACAAGCAAGACTAGCCACATGATGGCAGATTCAAGAATTGTAGGTGGGACATTGGTAGCACACACCCCTCAATGTTGGCCTCCAAGTTGGCAGTTACAGAAACCGAAAACATTCTATATGCAACCAGTTGATTGCTTAAGGGCTTATGCGACTCATGGTGTTGCAAGAACAAATTGATGATGATGATTATAGGCAGATGAAGATTCCCATTTTTATCCTCCGGCAAACACGACCACATTTTCACCGTTTCCCTACATTTCACTTTACCTTTTGTAAACCTTCTCACCAAAGACAAGTATTCTTTTGTCTATCTACTACTTGGAGATTTTTGCGATTCCTTTTCACTAATTTTAAAGTATTTTCTAATGGTCAACTGACGTTTCGTGTTTGCCGTAAACGAGGATCTTAAACTCTCTAATGACCACACCATGCTTCTCTTCAAGACACATGACATGCAAACAGGGAAAAGAAAGAAAATAGAACAATAATAAGCAGTGTAATTTACCTGTCCATTGCACATGTAGCAAGTCATTTGATTTAATCTTGAGCCTGTTTGGAATAAAGTCGTACTCGACAGCTGGATATGTCTGCACAATGTTACCTCTCTTTCCCCTCACATTCAAGTTATAGATATTTTTGTCTTCAGGTACTTTGTTAGCGTCACGGCTTCGTAACTTGAACAGATGTGACCTATCCTGGAAAGTACGACCATATTGGGCAGTGTTGATGGCTAGACGAAGTGGTTGCATACCAGCACCAACATCAACTACTGGATTTTGTTGGACTGGCGAGATCTTCATTGCCCCTCTGTATAATAGACAAGATACAAAAGTTGGCATTAAAACTAAATGAGGTGCCAGAATTTCTAAGAAACAAAAAAGCTCTTTCTTTGCTTTATACAGCATGCCACAAGCCATGAAAACAATAATTAAAGTGTAAAGACTTTGTGTAAAAGCAAGGACCTACATAGGTAAGGCTTTTCTCACACTCCTTGAGTGTTTTTGGCATTTCCTTAGTGCAAACTATTTGTTTTATTATAGAAAAAGACAAGTCATGTTGCAGTTTTCAAGGTTATTTTCTAACACTTTCATTGCACAACAGACCATGCTCTGTTAACTAATACAGTACAATTATCAACCAATGGAACATTATCGCATAGCAGCCATGTTGACTGGTACAATAGATTTCCCCATAGCCTCTCATTCAAGTAATTCAGAATGAAGTTGTGGGACTGGTGTGGTTAAATAACAATAAACATGCTGCCATGTGGCAAGGTATGTGTGGAAGGGTGTCAACTATATGCTTACTAATAGAATATTTATGACAGTTTACTTTAAATTATTTAAGCTTTCTTACAGGTTCTGGTTTGAAGAAGCATCAGTCTTCCATGGATCATAGTCATCTGTTGAGATGTTATACCTAATAGAGATATAGGTAAGCCAGAAATCCATCAGTTTTCTTATTGACATTAGAATATAGCTTCTTTTTTTCAATATTTACTTTTTGTACCCCCTCTCYGCAGCCCTCTCCCCAGGGACCTTTGACTTGTAACCAATCTTCCTCAGCCAATCGACATGGACAGACAGACAGACAGTGATCAAGGGAAAAAGAGGGACTGCTCACAGTCTAGAGTTGATTTTCAGCCTTTCTTATTCCTTAACCTACCTTATCCTCAGAATACATCTCTGATCTTTACCAGATGGGAAGCTTGGAAGAGTCCAGGTATAGTTCAGTGGAACACCCTCTCTACCATTACCAAGGTGGTTAACTCTAGTCCATCCAGCTTGCTCGCAGTCAGGCTGAGGCAATCTTACCAAGCACTCCTTATTAACCATGCCATGCCGTCGTCCAAAGAAATAAGGTTTACCCTTTGATTGGCATGTCTTCTCATCGAAGGGAGCTATCTCTAGATAGTTGTCAAATTCCAGCCAGCTTCCACCATTGTCTACACAATCCTTCTGGTTGTTATACTTGGACCAGTGCTTCGCTTCACCTCCAGAATACTTTTCAATACACTCAGCTGTGTATTTCAAAATGATTAAAAGTAAGAAGATAATCAAACAAACCAACATTAAAATAAGAATGTTGTTCATCTCCTTTATATATCAGATCACTGGTCACACACAAACAGCCAAAGGTTTGAATTATTTCAAAGATTTTGAAGCAGCTATGTCTCGTGATTTTAAACCCTGATTAAACGATCCTGCTCGTTCATTAAACAGTACATAAACATTATCCTACATATTGTGTTTTGCTTCGTGATACTAACACTGCCCATGTCATACCTTTAGGTTTTACGTTAAAGCTCTGTGTTTTGTAGTAACTACATCTTGATGGATCTGTTGTCAGTATAGCAATGTCTTTCCAGTCTGTTGGGTGCCAGTATGGATAATAATCATGCTCCTCAGGACACTCATAACCACGCCTTGTGCCAGCAGGGTTCTGGCGGGTGTAGATGCTCTGGTCACCCTTGAGTTTTTGGTCAGCAGTGAAAAGACCTTCAAACAATACAATGGAATACATGTTAGCAAGAAGGTGAGAATCCATTTGTTACAGTCATTTAGTTGTTTGGTTTTACTTAACATCATTTCTCATCTTATACAGAATAATAATGATAATAAGGGTCTTTATTAAATACTTTAAACAGACGTTAAAGCTTACTAAAATGATAATTATATATGAATAAACTAATTACAATTGCAATAAATATATAAAATATATACTACAATAAGATATACATAAAAAAATAAATGTTCATCAGCAATCATACATTTTCAATAGCATTCTTTTTGGCAAAAAAAATATTTTGGATCTCATTATCAGCTCCAGATGGGGATCAAACACTGACATGTGCTTCCATGCAGAAAGAATAGTATTCAAAGTTCATGTAACAGACCTCAAGTAAAACAAAACAATAGACCCCTTGCAGCACTTAGAAATGATAGCTCAATTACAACACTCGTTACACTCGCGAGCCAAACGAGCCAAGGCCACTGGTTCCATTTTGAGTGAGTGATACTTTCATGAATATTCCATTATGCATCACTTGGGAGTGACAATGGCCACTCGTTACTCATACTCGTGAGTGGATGGTACTTTACTTGGATCCAGTACTGTAAAGTTCCAATTCTCAGGAGATTGAAATTCTTTTGTTTTGTCCTCCAAATTTAAGCTTGTTTGACGTCACATGTAAGGAGTCTAGTGATATACCTTATGGAAATTCTGAAAATACAATCACATTTGCTATAACTTCGTTATTTTAAGTAGTTTAAGTTAAGTTTACCTTTGTTCCTGTTTCGTTGCTGGCATTTATCATACCACTCCCATGATTCAAACAACACCCTGTCATTTCGGACATTACCATTCCTACGTGCCTCATACTGTGCTTTTGTTTCTGCAGATCCCTTTCTGTTCGCAGTAAAAGCCTGGGTATTGGTATTCGCACCGTTTCTCATTGTGGATTGTTTTCGGGTTTGAACATCTTCCTGGCACATATACTGTAGCACAACCTGGCAGTTCATTTTATGTGGGTCATTCTTTTCGTTCCCACCACAACCATGCTGATTGGTCCATTCCATTGTCAGGTATGTCTTACCAGAACTTTTTCTGCTGCTCTGGAAATATGCCTACAATTTTTATAAGCAGACATTTAGAAAAACATAGAATTCAAACAGTATATTTGTTAAATAGTACGAACTCATGGGAGAGTCGGGGGGGGGGGGGGTAGACTAATAGACTATGCAGTCTGTAGTAGCACTAATTTGTACTAAAAAGTATACCCTTCTTATACTAATAAATAACTATCCCCACCCCCCACCGTCACCCCTGTCAGATCCCCCACTGGTAAAAGATGAAAGCTAAGCTAAAAGAAATTATTCAAAAGCTTCAGGCTCAAGGAAAATTTTGTATATAAAAATATCTTCAAGAAAAGAATATATATTTTACCATGTTGTATTGTCCGTCCTCGTTCCTGAAGGCCTGATTCGTCTTGTCGCCAACATTATATCCACCGCGATTATTGTTCTGAACAACAATAACAAACACTATCTAAGTATTGTGCAATGACTAGCATTTTAGCACTTTCAATAACCCTGAAATATCGGGACAATGTATCTAATTGATATTCATAGTTTTACTAATTTAAATTGAAACTTAGAGTCACTTTGATAAAACTTTTAGTAAGATACTTGTCATTATTTAATGGCTTTCAGATATACAGTACATACTTTAGGAATTTATACTTTAGTACATTCTCGCATAAGTAAATAGTTTGTTCGAGATTGAGAGCAGTTCAAACGATAGTCTGTCAATTCAAAGTCCGTACCTGAGAATCAAAAGCTCTGTTAGCATTTGCTCTGTTAGCACTTCGTTCGTTGAGTCGATTGTTGGATCCTCTTGGGTTATGGAGGTAAACATCTGCTAAAGTGACAGCTACCAAAGTAGCCAACATCACGAAACACACTGCACCCTTCATTCTAGATACGAACCAAAAGAAATACTGCTAATATGATATATACTCAACTATATACACCAGAGATAACACTTAAAAAAAAAGAATGAGAGAGATTTTTGGTTAGTTAAAACTCATTTTCCGTCTCAGTAAAGTATCCTTGCACAACTGTCAGGGGTTATAATATACTTCTTTTATCGTTCTCCATATATGGAGAATCTAGGATTTGGGGCAATACTTCCTGTAGAGCTAATTTTATACATGACGTCACTCGCTGATGAGCCGCTAAAAGGATGAAGTTGGAGCAAAATAAAGCAAATATTTGTAAGAAAAACCCATTCAAAGACTATTTATTCATCATGTAGTTGAAAAATGTGGTCTTTTTGTGAATATTTACTTAGAAAAAAATTACTAATTGAGCTCCCTTTCAGACTTAAACTCGATGTCCGGAATCATGACAGTTTTCTTTCGTTTTTCTTTCTGGTTTTCCAGGCTTTTGGAACACTTTATTCATCGTTTACTACACATTGTGACTCGTACAAATACGAAATAACAAATTAAATGATTAGGTCGAAGCAAAAAATTAATAGGATTTCAGTAAGCAAGCGGTAGTCGGAACGACATATATCCCAGTAATACCCAGTAATCTACCCAAGTTAGGATAACCTACTAATGTCGTTTACAAGCCTTTTCCACTTGCGTCATTATTGCAGGATACAAATAAAGCGGAGAGTTCACCTTCGCGTTTTGGTGAAAAGGTAATCTGCATTCCAAAAACAACTTTGATGTGGTTTTTTGGTAAAATCTTCGCGTATCGGGGCGGATCGGTTTTACATCGAACTTAATTTAACGATCAATTCAAATTTGTTTGTTCTTACCTCGGCTTCTGGTCTTCGCAGAGCAAGCCAATATCTTCCCAGTATGGATCCGTAAACTCAAATGAACTGGTTAAAACTAAATGAGCCTTTTTAATGTAACCCTTTTGTTACGAGAATGTAGCTTCTTGTCTCTGATTGGATAATGGAGTTAAACAGTTTTAAAAGTCATGGTTTTAGGTGGGAAAGACCATTAACACTAGAAAAGCTGTACAAATGTTACAATGAATCTTCGGGAGGTGCTAATTATCATGTTATGTGCGATAAAAACTGTTATTTTACAACCATAAGTTTATTTTTTGAAGCTGTTTTAATTTTTCGACCTTTGTAGTACAATAGACATTTTATCATCTCAAGGGAAAACTGAAGAAGTTTTCTCACCTACTAATGATCAGTTAGAATACGAAGCTCATTCCAGAATTTTTTGTTTTTGTTTCGCATCGTTCGAGCGCTTAAGATCATTTAAAATGAGTTGTACCCGTATATTTACATAGAAAAAAACCTATTGTAAGATTTCGATAGAATCTTTCATTATACAAACAAGAAAATCTACCTTTTTTGTTGAGAAATGAAGTGTTTTTACGCAACAATGAGAAATAATAACCTTTTATTGACCCCACACATGTATCAATGCTTTTCAAGGGCTTGGCTTCAGTTGTTCATTTTTGATCTTATATAATTTAAAAGGCCTCAAATTAAAGATCTCTTTAGAGAGTTGAAATTTAAGATCTTTTTTAAGTCATATAAGGGATCAAAAAAAAAAAAAAAAAAAAAAAAAAAAAAAAAAAGACGCTTATATCTGGCTTGATAAATAGTTCTATTTTTTGAATTATGATAAAATTCTGTCATCACATTCTTACGGGAAATGTGAAAAAATATATATAATAAAATAAAAAATGGCAGCCATGAATGCTTTTTTCTTGTGCGCACCGCGTCGTAAACCTTGCCACACCAAAGGTCCAAATAGTCAGAATCACAAGGGCAAAAAAATGTTACGATCAAAATTAGAATCACTCATTGTTGCTAATCACATTTTTCATATTGAGTTGGTAACATTTTTTAATGATTAAAAACAATAATATACTTCTTTAGTCGAGAAAGTACCAAAATTATAAAGGCTTTGGTCGTGCCTACTTTCGATATATTTATGAGTCGTGCCCTGACTTTGATAAGCCGGGAGGTTGTTTCAGAATACTTGGATATAATTTGAACTTGAAGGTTTAAACAACGAAAGAAAGAAAGAAAGAAAGAAAGAAAGAAAGAAAGAAAGA